TTTTCAGAAGCAGTTTATTTAGTTGTCAACACAATGCAGTCAGATCCACTAGGCATTAACGGGATTCCCAGCATGTGTTATTGAACTGAGTCCCTGTTCTTCATCCTTTGCGCTTCAGGGACAGCATCATTCCCATCTCTGCTGCCACCTTCTTCTTCATCATCATCCTTTTCTTCTTCTCTGCTTTTGTCCCGACTCCCTCCTCCTCTCTGTTTCAAACACTTCTCCTCTCATTATCTCGTCGTGTTTCCAGCAGCGCTCTCCGTTCCGCCTCCCCGTCCTCCTTATTGTCGGTGCGGGACGGGGTGCGGGGAGCAGATACGGCGTACGTGGGAAGCACATCTGGGTTACTCATGTGCGGCAGCGATAGAGGCGCGTTCATGGTGGTGCGTGGGAGCCGGTGTGTGCGCGCGCGCTCGCATGTGTGTATGCGTGCGTGCGGGGGTGTGCTTATGTAGAGCAGTGATATGGGGCGGCAACAGTCGGTCGAGCTTCAGCTGAGCCTCCGTTCCTACATTGTCTTAAAGCGGCTTTACAGGCAATCCGTCTGTTTTCCTTTTCTCCGTCTCTCCTCTGCTCTGATCATTCTTGCCCTCCGCGTTGGTTTCTTTCAGCAGCTCATTGTTGCATGACCGCTTCTCGCCTCCGCGGCCCTCAAAGAGCGAGGAGGATCCAACATCCCGAGGAGGCGAAGACGATTCGACAGATTCTTAGGAGAATATGCCAGTCTGGCCCAATTTAGTGGCTCATATTCATATTCTCGCTCTCTCTATTTTTTCTCTTTCTGTGTCTGTGTGCGTGTGTTTGTCAGAATAGTTCAGGTAATCCTTGTTATCCAGTTTAAGACATTTACAAGGAAATATGTTAGTGGAAACAACGCCAAACTACTTTTTTCTCGTTATGTCAAGTCAGAAATATGCAGAAAGATTTGGGACTAAACTGATTTGTAGGTTGGCATATCAATCAATCAATCAATCTGTTGGGATCTGGGGAAGGCTGGTTGTTTTTTCCTGTTTTCTCCACTAGAGGGCATCCTGGGGCTTTCCTGGAGGGTGTGACCTTCGGCTCCTTACCTGTGCACCTGGCGGCAGGTATTTCAGGGGGGAGCAGCCAACACTCCAGTGCCAGAGTGTTAGCCAATAATGGTAGACATTATTAGTGAGCTCACCTCCGACCAATCTGCTCCTTGTGTAATTCTCTCTGTGTTGCCTCTTCTCAGGTTATACCTCCGTGAAGCCTTGGGCTACCTGAACTGCCAGGATTATTGGCAACCTGATCTGAACCTTTGAGACCCCGTGGATATTTCCCATTGGCAGCCCGAGTTTCCAGAACCTCTTTGTTGTAACAAACCTCCATCAAGCCTCCTGGTCGGCAGCTCCCCCCAGGATCCAGGAAGACCTGGCTAATTCATTCTCCTGTCCGCCTTCCAACGTAACCTCCGCTCTCTCTTCACCTCCAGCCCCAGATCCACAGTAACCTTCTCCCCCAGTCCAATTCACCCACCTGCAAGTAAGAACTATAGTAACTTCAAGACTGCAAATTCCCACAGCACCTGAACTCATCTTACCTGTCCCTTTTTGTATTCAGAGATCCAGCACTCCAGTGACGAGTTCCTGTCCCAGACCCCTGTACATTCTATTGCACTTTGTATTCAAATAAATCACTTTAACTTTTACTTGTCTTCAGAGTTGTGTTCTGCGTTATGTGGGTTAACAGAATTAAACCCATCATGACAGAATCAATCAATCAATCAAGTTTATTTGTATAGCACAAGCAGTTCAAAGTGCTCTTCATAATCAACATTAAAATAGAAAGTGATAAAAACCTCACATTGACAACATGTGAAAAAACAGTAACAAACATATTTTGTTGAGTGCCATCATCAAAATATTAGGGCCATTGTAGACAGAAAAAAAGGACTACATTTCTGTCAAAAATCTCAGGAATTCCGAGAAAAAAAATCAAAAATTCAAAAGTTTAAAATTTAGACTTTTAAAATGAATGCAATCATCTCCCAAAAATCTGTTTCACAGTTGAATAACGAGAGACTGAAGGGCAACAGGTACATAAGTTGCTCCAGACAGCTGAAGCGTATCACACATTTAATCATTTTTTAACCTTTCACTTATACTGAAAATAGCTTCTTCCTTCAGTAGGAATTTCTACACCAAAGAGCGGTATTGTTAGTACAACCAGTTAGCTCTTAAGTAACAGTGCATTCACTGACATAAAACCAAGGAATTTAAGTTTCACTTTGTTCCTGGAGAAAACTCAGGTCATTTCACCACTTTGACAGACATCTAGTGACAGTAGAATGACAAGTAGAATGTATTCCACTTTCAGAGCCACTTATAACTTATGTCAGTGTTTTGAAGACAATTTTCTGCAGAGCTGTTTAGTACTGCGGGCTTAGCCTGGCTGCCTTCAGTCATTCAACATGCATATAATGGCTCGTCAGCCTGCAGGTGAGGATTGTATCAGTTATCAGTGGAGTAAAAACATTTTAAAACCCAAAGTGAAGAGTGCAGACTTTAATGTTGCATTTAAAGCTGACGTGGGTTCAGAAATAAACTATTTATTCAATGTGAGTGGAAGGGAAAGGAT